CCAGCTGCCACTGTGCCCCTATTCACAGTACCCTCCCCCACCCGCACATGGCTTCCTGCGGTCCCTAGAGCACAGGTGGCTTCCTGGTATCTGGCAGCTTTGCTGCCCCTCAGCTGATGCAGCTGCACTCCTGGGGGTCGCAGCCCCACACAACTAGCTCCCCAGCTCCCACCATCCTGTAGGCATTGAAGCAGAATGGTAGGGGACACGGAGAGCTGCAGGCAAAGATGTTTGAGGAAGAGCCGAGTTGTTTTTTGTTTTTTTTTAAGATTTTATTTATTTTATTCATGAGAATACACAGAGAGAAAAGAGAGAGGCAGAGACAGGCAGAGGGAGAAGCAGGCCCCATGCAGGAAGCCTGACATGGGACTCGATCCCAGGTCTCCAGGATCACGCCCTGGGCTGAAGGCGGCGCTAAACCACTGAGCTACCTGGGCTGCCCAAGAGCCGAGTTTTTTGAGAAATGAAAACTAACTCTTAGGGCCCCAAAGTTCATCTGTTTAGGTACTTGCTACAGGCCAGGCCAGGAACTTCACACATGTGGACTCGGTCCGTCCTTGTACAAATGCATGATAAAGGTTTATGCGCAAGGCCACCAAGGCACAGAGGCTCCGTAGCTGGCCCACTCGGAGCTGTCACTCAGGAACCACAATGGTGACCCAAAGAGGGACGACAAGGGTGTGGGGGATTGCGGTGGAGATGCAGAGCCAGGCAGGGACTGAAGTGTCCACCACTGACTTCGCCAGGACGATCTCCTGTGTGGGAGGGGACAACCGTCAAGCACAGTGCCACACTGGCAAAAAGAGCTTCCAGGATTTAGAGGGAAGACAGACACAAGGACGGACAGAGAGTGCTGGTCACAGGAAATGCCTAAGCACAAGGTGTGAGGGGTGGGGAAGGGGCACCTCAAGGTCACGTATCCCTCAGGAGGGGCATCAACACAGTGACCCACCTTACAACCTGCTGAGGCTGCACGGGCATGTCTCTACCAAAACCACCAAGACGATGGAAATCTGGGTCTTTGCCATGCCAGGACAGAACGAAAAGCTGAATTTGAGAAACTATTTAACCGCCCCAAACACAGGGAGACACAAGGAGAGCCACAGAAACCGAGAGAGGCAAAGAGAAGCACAGAAGACACCGTCTGAAGGAACCATGTGTGTCCATGAGACTACACAGAATCATGTAACGTTTTCCGGCGAAAAGACAGAGACACTTCTTAGATCTGACTTAGCGATAAACCAATAGTAAACATCAAAGTGCAAAATGTCACGTCAAAGAATGAAAAAACAAACACATGGCCAGTACTCCCACACCAGCAGGGGATAGCCAGTGAGGCTACCACGCCCCAGAAGGACCTGACTACCGAAGTGCACAGCAGTCCTGACACTGGTTGCACCCCTACTCAGCTCAGAGGGGCGGGAAGGGAGGCCCGGGCTCTCCACCAGCTGGGAGGACCCATACCAGCAGGTAGGGCCTTGTGGGGCGAGTAGATGTGCCATGGCGAGCAGTATGTGTGCAGAAACCCAGGGGCTCACGACCATGCTCGAAAACAGAAACACTGCCATGCTCAAGCCTAAAGAGAAAGCCAAGTCTTTCCTCTGAGTACTGGAAATTCACAGGGAAGAGCGGAGCATTTACGTGACCTCTTGCACAACTCACTTCAGGACAAGCAGATGGTGGACTATCTGCAAAGCCATCTTTGCCAACAGTCCCAGTTAACAAACATAGAACAACAATAAAATACAAGTATCACCCTTTGCAATCCCTAGAGTCACTGATCCAGGAGTGATTATCAATACCAGGGCATTGCCATTTATGTTTACTATCAATTTGAATATTTACAGATCTTTTTATATCCATATGTAAGAGCACTGTCAACACGTCACTTATCAAAAACAATCATCATCAATAAGGCTAACAAGGACCTGAACAGTCTCAGGTCACCCAAGCATCACCCAGCAGACCAGCTCAGGTCAAGGAAAAGGCATCATCACAAGGAGGGCCTTACGCTTGGCCTGCACCCGCTAACCCATCAGCATCACCAGGAGGAGGAGGAGTGCTTGTGATCAGCCTGAACTCCCTGGAGCCCACCCGCATCTGTGGGGGAGGCTGGAAAGACCCCCACTGCCTCTGATTGAACTTTCACCGCTGTCCCCATGAGCTGATTGGGCACTGCCGTGGTTTAAAGCAGCATGTTCACAAAGTCCCCAAGCTTGAACAAGGCAGGCAGGGGCCTCCACACAGTTACTTCTCCTGTGGCCCAGCAGTTGCTTCTGAACAGTCTGTGAAGTGGACAGAACCCTGGACAGAAAAGGATGTCCTCTCAAGAATACCAGCAACATTAGAAGGGGACAGACAGCACAGGCCTGGCATGAGTCTCAGTGGTGATTTGGGGAAGAACAACCATCTCAGCCCCACCAAGGGGAGAGGACAGCACTGCCCTGTCCTCAACCCTCCCCACCCAGCCCCTCAGGCCTCTGTGGGCAAGGGCACAGGAAACACCCCGTCTCCCCTACCATGCAGACTCCCCTCCCTCCTTCACATCCCCAAGGATGCTGCTTGTCACTCCTCGGTGGTGAGCGGGAGGCAGTGGTCAGACTTCAGAGTACGCCCCATGTGAGTCCAGGCTCCGGGCTCCCTGGAAACCCAGTGGAGGCCTGCATGGTGTGCGCAGGGATGGGGCCCACTGGCACAGTGCCAATACCCAGGAGAGCCCCACCCAATGTTCCTCCACCACCCGCAGGGATGGAGCATACGGTCAATGTGGGGCACCTTCGGCTCGACAAGGTCCACCAGACTCGATCAACTATGATCGAGTCCTTACAAGGATCGCTTAGTTCTGAGAGCAGCAGTGGACACTGAAGAGACCTTGTGCCAGGCAAAAAGCTTTCTAAAAACATTGTCACTGTAGTGACTAGATAAAACTCAAGCACCCAGTCCATCTGCTGCCTGCAGGCCATTCATCTGGAAAAGTGCCCTGGCCATACCTGCCACTCGCACTGGCACAGGCATGACATGCATGACCCTCCCTGGCCTTCCAGCAGCCCGCCTGCCCTCTCTCCTTCCAGGCCCGCCTGCGCTCCAGCCCCAGTCCTATGACACCCACTCCTTCAAGTGTCTCTCCCCAGAAGAACCTTACCCATTTCAACCACGGCCCCCGACAGGCCATCTTCACATCTAACTCTTGAGGTAAGACCCACAGCTCCGGGCGCCTCAGTAGGCTGAGCATCTGACTCTTGGTTTTAGCTCACGTCACGATCCCGGGGTCATGGGATCGAGCTCCACATCGGACTCTGAGCTCAGGGCAGAGTCTGCTTGTCCCTCTCCTCCTGTTCCTCCCCTGCTTACACACTCTTCTCCTCTTCTCTCACACACTTTTTCTCTCAAATAAATCTTTAAAAAAAAAAAAAAAAAAACAACCCACAGCTCTGAGCATGCAGCTCACCTGCGCGGTCATGCTGGTGGGCTGTTGCCCGGGCTGCACTGGGAGATCCTGATAGCAGGCACCACACTTGCCTGTTCATTGTATGGTGCTGCCCCAAATACTGAGATCATAACACTAGCCAAGAGGTCACATGACCTCACTGGCACTCAAGACCCCAGACACTGATGCCCCCTTCCCAGAGCCACCCCGCAGTTCTGGACCAGACCTAACGTCACTGTCACTGTCACTGCACATTTACAGGTCACAGAGGGCACCCCTGAGCCACTCCTGCCATATGGGTGCTGCACACCACCATGTGCACATAAAGCCATACCACACTCAGGAAGTCAGACCAGCAGCACTCCCCTCACTCCCGAGTGTCAGGAGCTTCAGCTTTATGCTGTCACAGAGCTGAGTGCTGCCCCAGTAACAGGACCAGCTGAGCTCTACGGAGGCTCCCTTCACCCAGATACCGAGCCCAGCTTTGTGCGTGTTTACACTCAGGCCCATGCCACCAGTGAGATTCTGCATGAGGGCACTGAGCTCCCAGGAGGCCAGGGAGGGGGCTGTCCTGCCAGATTATGAAGCCCACTGCTCCTGGGCGGGGGTGGGGAGGACGAATAAAGGAGCTGCTAATCTGGTTCCCTTGCTTCTGGGATCAGCCAGTTGCATAAACATGAGAAATTGCTGGCAGTGGACCTGCTGTAATTCTCTGTGAAGATGGGAGAGCTGGAAGCCACGAGGATGAGTCCAGAACTCTCCCCGACGGCCTCCGGGATGTTTCCACACTGACAGGACTTCCGACAGGAAGTGTGTGTCAGGTCCCATTCAAAGGCCTCAGAAAGGGCACCTGTGCCCATAGGGGAATGCAGACAAAACCTGGGTCTTCCTTTCAAACTCAGGAAAAGCGTTCTGGAAAAGATCCTCCCTGAGCGCGCACAAACAAGGCTCACCAACGTCCAGCTCTACGGGCGAGAGGCCCTGGTAACGGGGAGCTCACGGTCGGCGGCCGACTGAGAGAAGGCACATGAAAGCATCGCATCCGAGGAACCTTTCTTCCCTGCTCAAAAGGACCAGACTGTTCCCCTGCTGCGCATCAGGAGCTGCGGTGACACCCTGCCCCTGACGCTCGCTGGCTGCCGAGGCCGCCGAGGCCGCCGGGAGGCCCCCGACCCCGAGGCCATCCTCAGCCAGTCTACACCCCTCCCGCATCCGCACAGCTCGGTGAGAACCGGGAAGGACTCGCCCAGGTCCTCGGCCCCCGCCCACTCGCTTGCAGATGAAAACCTGACGGGGCGGCCAGTGGCCGCTAACTGGGGACACAGCAGGGCTTGTGAGCCTTACTCAGCCTGGAGGAAGCACAGGGACCATCTGGGGTTCAGGGCTCTCCTCGTACAGGAAAAGCTGGGCGGGGCTTCTCCATGTGAGGACTGTCCGGGGCTCCCACCCGGGGCACCGGGACCCTCCTCCGTCCGGCCCGGGCCCGCCGCCACCTCTCCCGGAGCCCGTCGTTGGGCCTCCCCGAAGGCTCCGGAGCCCACGCCCGCCGCCCACCACCTGCCCGCAGCCTCACCGGCCCGCGCTGCGTGCTGACGGTGGTCGCCATGGTGCTTCGCGGGCCCCGCCTCGCCCACCAGGAGCGGACGTGCCCGGGACCTCGGCGCCGGAGCCTGCGACGCCGACTGCTGTCCCCGCGAGGCCGCCGCCGCCGCCGCCGCCGCCTCGGTCAGCTGACGGCTGGCCCCGCCCCCGCGCCGCTCACTGCGCAGACGCCACGCCCGCCACGCCCCCTCCCGGCGCCGCACGCACGCGCGCTCCCGGCGGACGCCTGCGCAGTCACTCCTTCCGGGCCGCCGCCCCGCGAAACGGCTCCCGAGCTGGCCGTGTGCGCATGCTCGCCGGCCGGCCCGCGCCGATCACGTGGCCGGAGGAGTTTCCGGCCCCTCCGCCTCTCGGGGCGTGGCGCCGCGGCCGCAGAGCAGAGGGGGGTGGGGGCCTGGGGCGGGCGACCCGAGGGCTCCCGGTCCCGGAGGGCAGGCGACGGCTCACCCTGCGGCTGCCCCGGACCCTCGCAGCGCGGGAGCTTTTGCACGCGGATGTGTGGGCGCGGGGGTCGGGCAGACGGAGCGGCGGCAGTACCCGCTGTGGCGCGAGGGCCGGCCCACGGGCCGTGACGCCCGCGCGGGCACCCGCGATCCCGAGGCGGGGCGCGGCCCCCCTGCGGCCCTGCAGTGGCGTGCGAGTGGGCAGCACGAACACCCGGGGCCAGGACGGGCGTTCCTGCTCTGGCGCCGCCCCCCTCGGGGCGTCCACCTGCCGCCCCCCCACTGCCCCCCTCGCCACGCCCCCCCCACCCCGGCCGTCCACCTGCCATCCCCCACTGCCCTCTCGCTCTGCCCCGGTACTCCTCCTTACCTCCAGCCTGTCCACCTGCCATCCTCCACTGCCCCCCTGCTCTGCTACAGTGCATCCCCCCCCCACCATCCACCTGCCGCCCCCCACTGCCCCCCTCGCCACGCCCCCCCCACCCCGGCCGTCCACCTGCCATCCCCCACTGCCCTCTCGCTCTGCCCCGGTACTCCTCCTTACCTCCAGCCTGTCCACCTGCCATCCTCCACTGCCCCCCTGCTCTGCTACAGTGCATCCCCCCCCACCATCCACCTGCCGCCCCCCCACTGCCCCCCTCGCCACGCCCCCCCACCCCCGGCCGTCCACCTGCCATCCCCCACTGCCCTCTCGCTCTGCCCCGGTACTCCTCCTTACCTCCAGCCTGTCCACCTGCCATCCTCCACTGCCCCCCTGCTCTGCTACAGTGCATCCCCCCCCCACCATCCACCTGCCGCCCCCCCACTGCCCCCCTCGCCACGCCCCCCCACCCCCGGCCGTCCACCTGCCATCCCCCACTGCCCTCTCGCTCTGCCCCGGTACTCCTCCTTACCTCCAGCCTGTCCACCTGCCATCCTCCACTGCCCCCCTGCTCTGCTACAGTGCATCCCCCCCCACCATCCACCTGCCGCGTCCCCCACTGTCCCCTTGCTCTGCTACAGTGCACCTCACCCCCCCCCCCGCCCCATCCACCTGCTGCCCATCCCCCTGCCCCCGCCAACGTGGACCCCGGCGCAGGGTATGCTGCTGGGCTACGTAGCTGCAGCTCTAGGCTCCCCTGGCCTTCTTCAGACATCTCAGAATTGCCTGTGCCCCTTGACAGCATCCAATCCAGAGCGGAACCCCGCTTACTTAAACAGTCGGCATAACCACCTACAGAAACGCAGTCCTCCCTGGTGTGTGTTCTCTTTACCTGCAACCAGTTATAATCCCCACTGACTGAATTGCAGTTGGAGTGGGGGGCTCCCCACCCAAGACCTGAGTCCTTTCCCTCTGTGCACACTCCCCAGGGCTCACAAGGGGCCGGCCACTTGCCTGCTCATCTGTTTGCCCTCCATTGCACTACGGCCAGTGGCACCTCTGGTGAGAACCTGAGGAATTGGGATGCCCTGGCTCAGATCCCCCAGGCAAGGAGTTTATCCACATGCTCGCCAAATAGATGAGCAACTCAATCCTAGAATCTCATTTTGAGGGTCTTTTTTCTGGGGCCACTTCTGGTGGCAATTACTGTATCAGCCAGCGTCCCAGCAAGAAACAGATGGCATGCTTGCAAAGATAATTGGAGGAATTTTAATAAATGAACTAATTACAAGGAGGGACAGTTGAGTGAAGGACCAAGGCATTGTGAGGGAGGCAGCCGTAAACTGGGCAAGAGGCTCCCTCAGCAGAAGGTGTAGCCTATCCAGAGGAATGAAGTTCCACTGAACTGTAGGTCTAGGGGAGGGGTCTGGGGAAATAAACTATCCAACCTCCCCCTCCCCACACACGCATGCACACACAATCATCTCCAGGTGTCTCCCATTAGCTCAGCCAGGTGACCAGTTTGTAGAGGTCTCTATCCCAGAGCACAGAAATGGTCAGAAAGGTGGAAGGTGAATCTGGAGAGCACTAGCCAGAGGGTACAGTTTTGTAAAAATAGAAAAGACATAGAAATAAAACTTTTTAAAAATTATCCAGGAAAAATGATAAAACTTTATTGGAGGACATTAATGAGTACCTGAATACATTGAGAACTGTAGACCATATTCATGGATAGGAATACTCAGTATCAGAAATATGTCAATTCTCCCCCAGATTTCCCTACCACGGAAATTCTCATTAAAATCTCAAAGGGGTTTTTAAAAAGAAATTTAACAAGCTAATTCTAAAAGGTGTATGGAAGAACAAAGGCTGAGTAATAGAACATTCTAGAAGAAGGAAGAGAAGGAGGCATGGATGGAACTAGGAGATGTCAAAATATTATAAAACTAGCAATCGAGCTTCTGGTGTTGATGTGGGTATAGATTCACCAATGAAACAGAGTATGGAAATGATTTAGAAGCATGCCGGCCTGGCTGAGCAGTTGGGAAAGGAAAATTTTTGCAATAAGTGTGCTAAAACAATTTCCCATACTAGGGGAAGAATTAAAATTGGACGCCCATCTTATTCTACACAAAAGAGCAGTTTCTGGCTGAAATTGATCCAATAGATACTTGATGGATCCTACATCTTTGTTATGTTTGGAAAGGATAAAATGAGGATGGGCTGTCACCTTGCCCTCACCCATCTGGAAAGATGTGAATAGTCAAGGGGTGGCTGTTATAATGTGAGGGGAGCGACTTAGTGAGCCTGGCATGCGAGCAAGATGTTCAGCAGGCCAAACAGCCCGAATCAGGGCACAGACCACATGTTCCTGAGAAGGGCAGAGGGAGCTGGCAGGTGGGAAAAAGGAGAATGAGGAGGGCCAGAGAGGGGGTTTTCAAGGCCAGCATGGGTCGTTAGGTGGATTAATGAACCACCATCCCAGGGCTTTTATGAGAGGAGCTGGGGGCCCCAGAGCAGGGCAGAGAACACGAGTTTGGCAGAATGAAAGGCCAACTATATTTCGGTGGTGAGCACAGGCTGTAAAGGGAACTGTAACATAAACGGCGACTCCCCAGACTGATGGCTCACAGTGTCTCAGAGACTCATTGCTGACACGCGCAGCCTCGGCCCCGTGTGTCTCCTGAGTGGTGTCACTGCCCATGGAATCATTGCTTCTGGTCTACTTCCACGTTGTCACAGGAGCCCCACCCTCCCTGGCTTGTGTGTGCCCAGGTTTTAATGGCACACATGGGTATCAGTGTTTGTGGGGCACCCTAATGTGCTCAGGAGCTCCAGAAGGACTTTCTGGACCTTTTGGGTGGATTCTTGAGAAATAATGTTGAAATACCATTTTGAGTGCTTACTCTGGGCCAGGTATTGTTCTGCATGCTCTATGTGTATCATCTCATTTAACTTACACAACAGTCCTGTGGAGGGCAGGCTTATCTGTGGTATAGATGGGGTAACCAGTGAAGGATGCACACGTCTACAATGTCTAGTCCCAACAAGTAACTAGCACCTTCAATATACAAATGCCTCCCGGAAGTCACGAAATCCCATAAAATGAGAAAGGAGACCAGACATAAAGGAACAGGTGTTGTGAACCAGCAATTCAAAGGTTTGGTAGTTGTACAGAGGGACACTGAAGCTCACTAATAGTAAGAGAATGAATATGACCATGAGACACCATTTATCATCCATCAGAATAATAAAAATTAGGGAGGAAGGGCCTCAGGTCTAGGCAAGGATTGTCATGGGGAGCTCTTGTGTTGCTGGTAGGAATACAGGCTGCTGGAGGCTCTCTGAAAAAGCAATGCGGTCGCGTTCAGTAAACTATGCCGGTGAGCGGTCCCTGAGGAGACATTCTGGAAACATCCCCACTGATCCACAAGGGAATGCATTCAGGCTGTTTGCTGCATGGTTGTTTGTGTAGCAGAACTGGACAGCCCCATCCTTCACCTTTAGAGGAATGAATAAACCAAATATGATGGATATACACTGAAGAATGCTGTGCTGGGAGAAACAATAAAGTGGATGTCTGTAGAACAATGCATATGCATTTTTTAAATCCACAAATATTTTAGGCGGTAGTTTTCGGGACCCTATCAGCAGGCAGCCAATGCAGCGTTCCCATGAGGCAGGAAACTATGAGCCCGAGAACTGCCCCCATTCACTGCCTGCAGAGGGTCTCAGGGCTGCTGGACAGGGAGGGGTGACCAATGTGAGGACCAATGGTCTGATCCAGGAGACTTGGCACAGGCAGGGTGGGGTGCAGGAAGCGGGAGCCACGCAGAAAAAGAGCACTGGTGTCTGCAGAGCCTCCCGGAGGTCTTCAGCTGAGGACAGATCAGCAAACACATGGTATAAAACCCCAAGGCGGGGGAAAGAACCACCTGTAAATATCACAGAGCAATACCACTACCCCACCCAGGGGCTGGACTAGTTCCTATTCCCACTAGTGAGAGCAAAAATCCACATGACCAACAGGACACTGAGTAGACCACTCAGCAGTGCCGGCCTTAATATCACCAGGAATTAAGTTGGCTGCCTTAAAATGACAAAGGGAGAAACATATCAGGGGGACATAAAAATCCTACTACAAGTCTCCACATCCAGTTATACAGCTTCAGAATACTTGGGGCAAAATGTGATGGACCACAAGGAAGGGTAGGCACGTGCACAGCCACAGCTAGGAGTCCCTCACCCTCCCTCAGCATTCAGTGGGCAGATTGGAACTCAGTAAGGACACGGACAACCCAAACGATGCTGCCAAACAACTTAATCTGA